ACACCAGGAGCAGGTACATTAGCACGGATATTTCAATCGTGGAGAAGGAATTTTTATTCTGTGCAACTAATTCGAAGAACCGCTCAAGGAACATAAACGCTTGCTTTATCGGTAAAAAAGAAGACTACAGTATCCCCTTAAACAAAAGATGATTTACTATAATTTACTAACTTCTCCATTCAAAAGATAGAATTGAAGAATAAAAGAAAAAGTACTCTAAAATTTCCTGTAATCATATATGTAAAGTAGATGATGTAAAGTATTGTAGAGTACGTAGGATATGCAGTGTGTATATTTTTTTATTACTATACTCTCTGAACTGGATGCACACTGTGCAATAAATTGAAATGAAACAAACGTATATTTGTTTTGCTTCAACTTATTACACCATAGGCCTGTTCTTTTTGGCTGAACTTTTGCACCAGTTCATCTTTCTTTCTCTTTTTTCCTTCTGGAGAGAAAAGGAAGAAGGATTCAGCCAAAAAGAACATACCTCATGTGCGGCAGAGAGAAACTCTGACAGTGTAGTGCAGGAAAGTCTTGATAACCTATTCTATTCGCACATGTGCTGCTGCATACTGTGTGTACGGAGCTATGTGCACATTTAAAAATGGCGCTTTTTGGTCGTGTTAATTCGAATACCATTTCGTTGTTAAATCATTGTTATTGCAAAAAGTTCATATTGGGCACAAGTAGATTAAAATCGCACGGTCGCATCTCAATATCAACTACCATGCAACATAAGAACAATAAACAAGGTAAGTCACATAAGTTCAGCGTATAACCTATAAGCTTACAAATAATATCATAAAGCAATAATAATATTAGAACGAAATATTAATATAAAAATGAGAGATTACAGATCTTCAAACGAACTTTCATGCCACTAGGTTATTATAAAATAGGCAAAGTGATAAAAACTATACTTAAGATCAAGAAGTTTTGTGCTACATAACCTAAAGACAGATCAAAGGCACATTAAAGTTTATCACCCGGTGACGAGAAGCAAAACAAAAATAATATAACAAGGCTTGTTCCTTTTAGCTGAACTTCTTGCTCAATTCATCTTTTATTTTTCTTTTTATATTGGAGAGATAAAGAAAAAAACTGTGCAAGCAATTTAGCTAAAATGAACAAGTCCTTTACATAGTCCTTTACAAAACAATTTACTAACTTTAACGTAATTGTTGAGAATGCAGCATGAATTAATATTCTCTAACTAAATTGATTTTTCTCATATATCACAGTTATTCTCTGTTTTCACACCAAGATCTATATCTGACAATTGCAATTACAGAAAGCACACACGAGACTGAAATCGTCAAAAGAAGAAATCAGGCATGTCGAAGCTTATTGATACAAGTATTTTCGTCGAAATCATACAATGATCTCCATAATTATTGTTTGCAGTTCGGAGATATCTCGAGTATGCATCATTACCATATAAATAATCAACAAGTATGTCAGATATTATTTAATATTTATCCAAAATTAAATGCAACATTAATACGTAGTATTAAATATTGTGTTAGAAAAGTATCATATTGTGATTAATTTCAGAATTATATCTTGGTTGAGTTTAAAGACATAATGTCGATAAAAGACATTATGTCATCTGCTTCCTTTACGAAAGGAGACTCTACACCCGTAAAATCCTCGATATTATGGTTTCGTAAAGGACAAATTACTACATCACAGAAAAATAATCAGAAAAAGGTATCTTTATTTGTGGAAAATGGTTGTACGTCGCCTACTGAAAAGGAGACAGCAAAGCTATTATATAATGCTAAATCGGTGAGCTCATTTATATTACAGTTAGGATTATTCGAAACATTTAGCCTTATAAAACTTGTAACCTTTGCAGATATCAGGGCAGATAATAATTCTCTATGAGATGATAAAATTGACTGATTTAGAAGCAAGATTGAGGTTTCACACTGCTCACCATTTAGAGCAATATTTTTCTAAACTATTTGAGAATATGAAGGTTCTGCCATTTGGTTCCTCTATAAATGGTTTTGGAAGGAAAAGGTGTGATCTTGATTTAGTTCTTGTTCCCGACACTGAAGAAGTAAATATATAAGTAATATTCAAATTAATAAAATGTTCACGTATTTAATCCTACTTATCAATGAATTGTAACATTTGTAGCATAATGCCACGAGTAGATTGGTATTTCACTCAAAGTTTATGCATAATAGCGATAGGCATGAAACAAAAGAATTTTTGGGAATACTCGCAAACACCATGCAGTATTTCATCCCCGGAATTCTTAGTGTCAGAAGGATTCTGGAAGCTCGAGTACCTATAATTAAATTCTGTTATAACTACACACAAACTGAATGTGACTTAAGTGCAACAAATATGTAAGTCAAAACATATTTCAATTTTACTTGTACTATGTAGGATTTGTTGTTTTTTTTATAATGAACCCTTAACTACAGCAATAGGTCATTTGGACTCAAAACGTCAAAGTTTTATACAATCTGCAGTTATTAGTACTACGAGATTCTGAATTGTAGGGAAAAAAACTTTGAACCTTTCTCTATCAATCGTCAAAGATTTATTTACGTTTTGTAATTGAAATAGGATATGTTAAAACTAAATGTAATTTTCACAGCTGTAGTTAGAGGGCTAAAAAGACAAAAACGTCAATACTGATCTCTTCTACAGGACTGCTATATATATGACCGAATTATTAAATTTGTATGGAGAGATGGATTGGCGAATAAGACCGCTTGTTATAGCAATACGAGCATGGGCGAAGAGTCAGGAATTAACATCCGACGTACCAGGACAGTGGATAACAAATTTTCCCATTACGTTGTTAGTGTTGTTCTTCTTACAACAAAAGAAGATATTACCGTCCTTAAAAATATTAAAGTTCTATTCGAGTAAGTCACATATAACATAAACAAAAGAATTACATAACGTCTGATTAGTAAATTGTATCTTCTTTTCTTTTATACAGCTCGCGATGACGTTCGTTATGCAGAGAATGGCATCGATTGCACCTTCCTGCGGGATATTAACAAATTGCCACCCGATTACAAATATAGGATAAATCAGGATAGTCTGGAGACACTTTTATTCGATTTCTTTGAGTATTATTCGACATTCGATTTTCAAACGTACGGGATATGTATCCGCGAGGGTGTGCAGATTCGAAAACCATCACGCTCGGCGCTCCATATTACCAATCCTTTAGAAACGACATTGAACGTTTCCAAAAACGTAAGTCTCTACGAATTGAATCGCATAATTTCGAAGCTGCACGACGCGATTTACGTGCTAGAAACCACCGACAAATTCGAAAATAACAGCTGGGGTATCATGACATTATTGAAAGTAAATAATGATAACGGACATTTGAAGAAATCGAATACTACGAAAGGACAAAAGAAGAATATCGAAGAATACTTGGAAGATTCCTACGAAAATTCCTACGAAATTTCTGACAAGTTCGAAGTTAGTGAAGCTAATATCGATGAAACAAAAACAAAAAAGAAAGAAACAGTATGATGACCTAAATGAGTAGCGACAAAATATGTACTTTATGTCTGCAGAAATGGTGTATGTATCATATGTTTCTGCATGAGACTTTTTCCTTTTTGTACCAATGATTTGGTATTATCTATAGTGGTGGCGCCAGAAATATAGAGACGTTTTACCTGAGAAGAAGAAAGAGAAGAAACGACGGAGAGAGAATTTTTATTGCGGTCAATTGTGTGTACTGTACTATAATATATGAAAATAGAAGAGAAGTGTACATAAAGTCGACAATTACGTATAAATGAATTACGTATATTAGTCATAAATAAATATGTGTAAAATATCACAATCAATTATTAGATTAATTAATTGGAAATTGCCGTTGTATTAATTCCGGAAAAAAAATGCAAACATCGGAGGCCAAAATGTTCTCTCGTACTTCATCTGTTGAAGCTTCCAGCTTTATAGCCTGTCTGTAAAATTCAACAAGTGGAATACCGAATATGCATGTTTTTTTTATACATGTACGTATACAACTGTGAATACTTGTAAAACTGAAGTGAGCGACAAAGTTCATGCATCGCTTTCAATACACCAAGATACGGTATATAAATCAAGGGTATATTTATTAACTTGTATATATTTTGCTATACCAGAAATTCGACAATTTCTCATACATGCTTACGTGTGTACACTCGCTATAATTAGAACGTTTATTGTAACCCTGCTGAAGATTACAAATTTTCGCTCGTAGTTAAATTCGAAACAACGATTAACGATCGCATTGACTTTCACAAGGAAGAGCCGATTCCTCGTAATACCGATTTTTATCCTTGCGTTTTTATCCCTCGTTTGGAATAATATTATCGTTACATTATAGTCAATAATTGTGAGGAGTATAATCGTGACGAGCCCATGCGTCGTAGGGCGATCGCTGGGTTTTTATTGATGGCGATTACGAGTAAACGCTCGAATTAGGCTATTCTTCGCGAATCGAGTATCGTCGATTAAATTCGTAATGACATAATATATCGCGACTGGCAGTGTTGTTTACTAGCTAAATATTACCGTTTTACTTGATCGATCGAATCGCGCGACGTACTTTACTGGACTATGCATCCGACCCGTTGACGTTCAAGGGAAAAATCGCGTGTACGGATATGGTGGGAATAGATCCGTGTTTTAACTAGAGGAGAAACGAGGATACGAGAACAGGACTCTTGTAATAACGAAATCGAAATAATGTGCGCGATTGGAACGAAATATACATTCGTCTGTATACAGTTTAGATTGTAACGTCAACCGTGGTTCTTTTGCAATTATTGTACATTGCACACGCGCGTTTTTGTCTGAAAAAACGTTTTATCTTCCTTAATCAAGGCTCTACGTGTATCAACCGCCCCAGGCGGATCTTGTCAACAATACGAGTAGCAGACATAATCGTACTCTCCTTCTCTCTTCCATCTCTAACGACTGCATTTACAGTGGAATCGATACCGATCTTCGGCACTTTCATTATCGAATGCAATTAAATCGCTATATAAAAGGTACTTCACGAGAGTTGCACGTCGTCGTATGCGGTATACAACTTTGACGAGGGACACAATACAAACGTCGAAAAATTGGATTAATACAAACACCACGCGTTTGATCGGGATCTCAAAAGAATCTCGAAAAGTAATATAAAGATAAGAGCGCACCTGATGGAGATGCCTCTCGATAACGAAGATTTCTGATTTTCCATATCGCGCAGAATATAGACCTTTTTCATTACTGTTATCATATTTATATTATTTATATATCCATTATTATTATTATTATTATACTAATAGAATGTCCAAAATCTTCGAAAAACCGATAATATGTCGGCTCTCACAACAATACGCTTTCTTTACTAATAAATAACATTTATACTTAAGCCACTTGGGGCACGGCATTTAGTCTTTTGATCATTCTTTTTCATTTCTTTTCTTTTTTCTATCTATATGCAATAGGCTCGCGGATATCTATTCGATACCCTTCGGACAATATTTCCTTACGTAATTCTTGCGCGCGAGGAGGGGTTGCGAAGGGACCGAGAACGACCTGAACGACAAGAAGCGCCTCAATTCGTTTTACTCTTACGATGATGACGATGATGATGTAAATGATGGTGTCGCAGCTGAGATCGCGTCTCCTGTACGGCCGCCACCAAGGTGCGCACCGCTTCCTCGTGGCCCTCAAAGCTGTCCGCTTTCTTCAGCTGACCGAGGGACGAAGCACCCTCGCTACCGGCGCCACGCTTGCTCTTGGGCCGCGGGAAGGTCTCCCAGGAACGCTGTTTTTGCATGAGAGACGACGACGTCCGTGATCCGATCAAAACGACCAGGGCTTTCCGGGGGTCCTGTGCGATGGATTGTTGACCTACCGTCCCATCGGCGATGCTCGACCGCCTACTGTTCCCGGAACCAGTTGTGCTGAGACTGTCGCAGCTGGCGCGCCGTCGCCTCCTCGCATCCTTCCCGTCGCCGTAGAACAGCTCCTCGGAGTCGCTGGCCGGGTAGATTTTGGGGACCTTGCTGCTTGGCATCGCCCGTATCTGATCGTCGGTCGGGACCGCGTGTACTTGCGCCTGCACGCGCTTCTTCGCTTCGCCCATGCTTGAGGCCTCCGAGATTCGTTGATACTCGCCCTCGTCGCCTGCTGGAAGCACGGGACTCTTTTAGAAGACGGTCTCATCTTCTTCGAACGCAGCGGGTGTAACAAAAGTTCGCTGCGGGACGACGACGACGAGACACTTAACTTCGTGATGGTAAATGTGCGATAGATGTGTTACATGTGGGTCAACATATATCGATATATCTTTTGTTAAATGTACAGATAACATATTTACATATATTGTATATATATATACATATATATATATATATATATAAGCGTGTGCGGTGAACGGCGAGCAACTTTACGTATTCGGCTGTCGGATGTTTATCGCCTCTAAGTCTAAACCCGAAATTTCGCCCCGACTACAAAGGAAGACCTGCGTGTCATAATGTATCAGTATTCGTTTGCGCACGATGATCCTGCGATTCTCCCATTCTTACCGATATGAGACTGCGGCTGCTGCGAATCGGTGCATCTTTCCGCCTGATCGAGCGCCTCGGCGGAAGTGTCGCCGGTTCCGCCTTTCAGGGAACGATACAACGACCGCATCTTGCTGCCGGATGAGTGACCGGGTGGCGTCTTCGGCTTCGCGCTGTCCGGCGACTTGCGCGAACGCCGGCTCTGACTGCGATCACGCCCGTCTTCTCTGCCTGGTGATTTCTTACGATCGTCCTTTTGCGTTCTGGCCTTCTCGATCAATTGACTAAGCACGCCCCGCTTTGGATCGGTTGACTTGGCCGTCCCGTACACAACTATATTGCCGCTCGAGTCCAAAACGGCGCCAACACCACCGGACGGCGTACGACAACGCGTCGGTATCTCCTTCGTTTCTGTATAATAAATTAAATTGCGAATTAAGTATACATAAATATTCAATGCGTCTTTATTATTTTATCGTCGACGCGATCCGAGATGCTTTCTCACCCTTCATATATAGCGCGTTGTCGGCACTCGTGGCAGTGCTACGTGGATGACGATGATCCTTCGTCGGTGCTTGAGCCTGTGGATGCGGTAGTGGTTCCTGCATCTGTAAGCGCGCCAGATGATCCAGCAACGCTTGTAAATGTTGATTATCGGCCGCGTCCGCCGCGGCCACACTCACTTCCCCCGCGCCGATGCCTATCGAGAACGACTTGACGAAGGGCTCCAGATGCTGAGCGAGCACTTGCAGCTTTTTCACTTCGCTCCTCAACGATAATATGTCATTCATCTGAACAGGAACAGCACGAGAGTAAATAATAAAGAAGTTGCCACGATTAAAAGTCGTCCATCAATACATTTTTTGGATATAAGAACTATAGTACGATTGTGATAACTATATAAGATTGGCGTATCTTAATGGTTATGGCTGTAAAGATATGTCTATCTTACGGTTATCACTACCAAATGTATTGATGGGTGAAAATTGTCATTATTTCCGGTGTGTTACAACCGTAACATTTTTTCTGTGAAACAGAGACATCATTGTGATATCAAAATGATTTTAAAATGATTATTAAAAGTCATTTTTCAATCATTTCCGATTCATTTTAATATCATTTTGACGTTATCCTGACTTGTTGTTCTGCTTGGGCTAACTTGGCTGGGAGAACATACTTGAGAATGGAAAATCTCCTTTTCTATGTGAATCCTGCACATCTGTTCCTCCCAAAGAGCGTCGAAAACGTTTCTCAGTCGCTCCAATTCCATTTGATGGTGCTCCAATTGTTGCTCGAGCAAACGGCAATCCCTTGCCACATGATCGTAACGCGTACCCAACGGCGGAGTGTTTGCTCTCTTTAAAACGGAAACATCCCGTTGCAATTCGCCCAATCGTTCCTTCACAGTCATCAACTGCTGACTTAGTTCCTTCAGCTGGGTGTCAAAAGTCCGACAGTGATTGGAAAACGGGCCGCCATCAGGTCCGCTTTTTGGCGGCAGCCTCTGAGTGACCTTGCTGCTCTGTTGGGAAAACGTATTCCTGGCGTAAAACGAATGGTTTATTAGCGATCTTGTAATTATATTTTGCATCAACTTTTGATTATCATTTACGATCTATAATTTCTATAACGATCCATGAATAAAACTGAAGAATTTAAGCAATACAAATAATAATTTAGGCATCAGAAAGAAAAAAATGTGTGATGCGAAAATAAAGGATAATCACGATGGAGGATCATCGACCAATCGTGAAAAAAATTCCTCGTTTCGTTCGCACCTGTACCTGAAGCACTTGCGGTTCCGGCTGGCCTATCGTATGACCACCGGCCATCTGATCATACAGGGATTCTGCGGTAACCTTCGGTGTCTGCATTTGACCTATGTAGGGATGTAGGGCACGCGCAAAATCGACTCGATAATTCGTCTTGATGTAGGCAGCGAGCAGAGGTGGCCGCGACGGATGGCCCAGTTGAGCGACGCGACTCAGCCGTTCCAACATCGGATGCGCCAGTTCGAGGAACTGATATTTGGTCGCGCCAGTGGTGAACGCGGTGCACAGCATTAAATGCATCTGTAACACGGGTAGCGCGCTACCTAGTGCAAGCAATTGCGTACGCACCATGCGCTCCTTGGTGTCGAATTGACGCTGCAACTCTGCGAGGACGTACGCGTGCGTCTTGTTGATCGCCTCCTGCATACCTTGACAGAAGGCGGTCAACGCGCGCTTCTCGGACTCGAGACTGTGCCGCAGCTCGTCCAGCTGCGACTTGAGGGCCAATACGCCGTCCTTAATGCCGGCCTGGAGCTCGCAGATGGAGTTTACCGCGCGCTCCATCTTCTTCGAGGCCTGCTGCCAGGCGCTCTCGATGTCCACGCAGTGCACCCGCGCGTCCGGAGGTGTATCGCGAAAGCACGTAGCGCACAGCATGCACTTGGCGCTCTGGCTATACATTATGTACTGCTCGCCATGGCTCGGACACCGACGTTGAGTGTCTTTGGCGCATTTGCTCATGTGCACCACTTCGTGAGTAGAGAACATCTTTGCACGATGGGTATGTTCTCTGCAGTGAGTGCAAAGCGCTTGTCCTGTAAATGTACGACATTTCTTTTTATATATTCTGGATAACTTGATACTGATATTGAAAGACATTTCTTTAATAAACATACCGCATGTTGTACAGAAAAACATAGTGGATTTATCGCGTTTATCGCAATTGGCACATGGTGGATTTTCGGAGTTTGCCAGTTCCACTAATTGGCGTATCAGCTGATCGGGGGGTGGTAATTGTGCTCCATCTTTCAACTGTGTTTGTTGCCTGTATAATTATAAATAATAACACAGTGCAGCATTATTACATATCACTTGTAAAGAAAATTATAATCTAATAATATTACAACTAATATAAAAAGCAATAGGGGAAACGTTTCAGTTTTCTTGTGAGTCTAAAGAATACTTGAAA